AGAAACATTAAGCCCTTGTAAATTTTAGCATAAGAAATGGGCTGATTATTTGTTCAGATATTTTGTCTTTGCAGTTAGCAATTTTTAAAATATTTAAACAAAAAGTGACAGTTTAAATGAAAAACTCTTGCTTTTTTATTGTCGCACAGGCGAAAGGCAGCTCGAGCTAAGCCTCTATCCAGTATTATTTCCATTCTCTTTTTGTTGTTTGGAGCTGCTCAGAGATGTTTGTTATAAGACCCTTGCCCTCTAAAAATTCTCTAGTGGATTTACTTTGAAAATTCCCTGACAATGTGTTTAGTTTTGAAATTGAAACTAAAATTGTCATTTCGGTTCTGATCTCTTGAGATATGTTTAGCGTATTACTTGAAGGACTACTGCCATCAGTTCTGAAGGGGTTTTTTTTGTTACCTTTATATATTGCAAAATCATGTGTCAGATTTCGTAGATTCTTTTCTAGTGTTTCTAGAAATTTTAACAATTTTGCTGTGCTAATGCATGCTCTGTAAATTTCTCTGTCGTATCTTGACTTGCTGTTCCATTTCTGTGATTTCCTGTGCTCTGCAGCACCAGGAGGCAGGGCCAGTCCTGGCAGTCATAAAAAAAGAGACTTGGTTCCCCCTTCTGGGAAAACTGCTAGATATATACTACTTCAAAAGCTGAAATATATTCTAAGAACTTTGATCAACAGTCTTAAAACATTAGGCTAATTCTTCCTTCATTTTCAGTACATGAGAAACCAAAAAGGTCAAATGTGACTTGAAATGCATGTCAATTAAGGTGGATGTGGAATGTCTGGGTACTTGAAGAAAGTCATAAAGTCCAGCCTTTCACTGTTAACTATGAAATTGTTATAATGGTGTTTGCATTAAGAATACAGAGGCATTACAGCATGTGTACTCTTAACAGTATTTCAGAAGTCAGTATGTATAGCTGTATTTTCACATCAGGTTTCCTAATTTGACAAAAGATTTTTTTCAACTAATGAAGAAGATATCATGCTGTCCATATATGGGTGATAGTTTCTATAGCAGAAAAGCTTTCTTGTTCAACCATTTAATAAATTTCTAAGGATATACTTGGTGGTTGGTAGGAAATAGGGTTAAAGAGTTGTGGCTCTCCCAGATTGCTTTATCCTGATAGTGTTCCGATTGTCTTAAACTATCCAACATACGCTGTTGGTTTTCCATTGAATGTTATTGCCTAGTGCATGTCAGGAGGGGCTATGTTCTGTGATCTGTAAAATCACTTTCCGTATGAGGGCTGGATGTATATAGAAGACTATTATCTGAATGGAAAGTGCGATTTGGTTAACCTGTAAGGGAAAAAAATTCCTAAGTGTACGATGAAATATTGCCCGGAGTTCAGAAGGCTTGTGGCAGCACTGAGCGTTTGACACAGCCGTTTAGATGTCAACTATGCAAGCTGAAAGCTGTTCCATTTGGACAGAAGACCATCTTAATTGTTACTGTGCTTCTGTGACCTTCCCGAAGATTCCCTAGAAATATTTTTGTTAAATATAGTCACAATACTTAATTTCACTATAAAATTTATTTTCATAGATGTCTTTTGGTGAGAAGTGATTGCTTTTCAGAGGAGCTCTTGTGGGTCTGCTCTATGATGGTGCTTCTTGCTTTTAATTTCAGTCATGTTTTCTTTTATTCAAATTAAAATGCTGCTTTTTTCCTGATGCCTCATTAATGGAAGGTCAACATGGACAAAACAGGAGGAATGCTTCTTTCTGTCATGAGGGAGAGGCTCTATTCTCTCTATTTTAGGCCTGTGCATGGATACCGCTTTCCACATTGAGACAGTGTCTCTAAATGCTGTACTTTGTGATAAATAACATAACTGAGATCTGGACTTTCTTCTACTTTCCCATTTTCTGCCCTTTCTTATAGCAGATTTTAACTACTACATGCCTTCCTCTCTGATCTTGCAAGTCGTGTCCATTCTACCCCCTCCCTGTTTTGTTTTCCTGGCTGGGTTGGGTGTATAGCTGTTCTCTTTATATTCGGTCAGTGGTTCCCTATGTTTTTGTCTACCATCAAGGTCTGATGTGACTTGGAATTCCTCAGTTATCCGCTCTTTAAGAGTTGCTGGATCTCAGGCCATTATTTGTTCTAAAGGATTGCCAGTTTTGAGTTCTTACGAAGCTTTCCAACAAGAATGTTTATTTTCTGCTATTAAAATTTTATTTGGCTGAAATATGTACAACTTTAAGAGTCTGGATCTCAGGCCATTATTTGTTCTAAAGGATTGCCAGTTTTGAGTTCTTACGAAGCTTTCCAACAAGAATGTTTATTTTCTGCTATTAAAATTTTATTTGGCTGAAATATGTACAATATTGATAAATGTTATATTAATGTGTACAAAATGTATGTTTGTGGAACTCGATGTGAGCAGAAGCAAGTGGCAGTAAGATGCTGTGGGAGGAAGGACAAGCAGATGGTGACAGAAACCACTCTTTCTGAATTTGTAGTCGCTGCTGAGTCCAGATGACACGAAGAAGTAGTATTCTTCATTTGGATTCCAGTAGGATATGTAGCAGAGTGAAAACTGTTTAATTTGCAGCTTCTTTCTAGTAATTTAACCAGCAGAATACACAAAATAGTCTGCTGGGTCTTTTCTTCTCGTCGTACCTTTTGTGCTTCATCCTCCCATGTGTAGTTTGCCTTCTTGTAATTAGGGAACTGGTATTTAAAATAATTAGGTTCTCTCTTTTTCCGTGGAACTATGTTTCTGAGATGTTGTTGAAATATTACTTAGATAAAACCAGAATTAAAACACAAATCTTCATTACTTCACTTTCATTAATGTCTAAATTATACTTTGAGTCAAAGAAACATCAGGAAAGATCAACCGCAGATAAACTATGAACATAGCAGTATATGTTAGACGAGCTTCCACATAAGTTTCCTCACGTGTTAAGCCCGAGGTCCAAACTGTACTGAAAGATCATGCCTGAGGAAGAAGCAGTACATCTCTACTACTGCCACCTGAAGTAACCCTTGCAACAGAGCCATCAACACCCTGAGGTGTGGTGTGGCATTCTGAGCAATGAGTGCTCTGGTGGTCGCTTCCAAGGGGGAAGTAAGCAACTGCTAGATTCTGGAATAAACGCTCACAAAACATCCTTAAAGGGCAAAAGAGTTGTAAATATCAGTCAGTGACTGTAAGGCTGTATGAGTTCACTTTATGAGCTATTTTTTAGGTAAACCTTAGCAACTCAAAATTTAAAATATTATGTGAAACTGCATATTTCAACAAAATTCCAGATTAACTACACTTCTGCCTTACGTTGTTCCACCTTTCCTTCCCTTTCATTCCCAAATTGGAGACCCCTCTGTTAGAGATTCAGACAATGAATCCTTTTATCTAGCACTTACATTCATTATTCATTGTTCATTGTCAGTGGATTGCTACTTCAGGCCTGAATTAGAGATAATTAATCTTAGGAAAGCACTTGTAATTTCACACTTTATGAAGCACTGTTGTCTCGGCACAGCAGTGCTGTGGTGGCAAAATACTCTAATGCTCATTGTTGCTATGCAGTGTCATATCTCTTAATATTTACGTGCATTCAAGTCTTTATTTTGCTTGCCTGTCTGTAGGTTTATGTTACAGCAGTCATGTTTGTGTTTTGCTTTGGAAATACTTTTTGGTAGTTTTATTTTAAACACAATTTCAAACAGAAATAGGTTAAATTGTCATTTAAATGGTGAGGTTAGAAAGACCTTTATCCTTTTCAGTACTGAAAAGGAAAACTTGGAAAAGCGATGGACTTCACAGCAAGAGGAATCAAGTAGATTCCCAACTTGGCACGTTACTTCAGATGATGAGTTAAATTGGTAGCTGGTAATTGATCGGATACAGTATACACTTAGAAGCTAAGGCCTGATGTTTTCCATCTGGTGGTTAAATGTTTCTAAACCTTCTTGCTATGCACGTAGCCTTCTAGGAGCTCTAGTTGCATGTGTGAGCATGTCTGCAAGAACTTTACTCAGGAAGTTGATTTCGTGTATTGCAGCCTTTTTGTTTAGTTTACACATCTGCATAGGGAACAGTTCCTGCTCTGTATCCTACAATAGCTTAGAAACTATTCTAAAAATATCGATACCTCTTGACAGTACTTGTACTTGTACAATACAACTGGTATTTCTAGAATGCTGAAAGAATGAAATTATAATCTACGCCACATGAAGGTACTGGAGAAGTGATTCAATTCAAAGTTACCAGAGATCCCTTAG